AATGATAACCTTGCTAGGTAGAGTATTCCTGGTTGTAGATTTTTTTTTTCTTTTCAGCACTTTGAATATATCATGCCACTCCCTTCTGGCCTGCAAAATTTCAACTCCATAATCAGTCAATAGCCTTATGGGGTTTCCCTTGTGTGGCACATTACTTCTCTCTCACTACTTTTATTTTAATTTTTTAATGTTTATTTATTTTTGACAGAGAGAGAGAGCATGAGCAGGGGAGGGTAATAGAGTGAGGGAGACACAGAATCCGAAGCAGGCTCCAGGCTCTGAGCTGTCAGCACAGAGCCTGACGTGGGGCTTGAACTCACAGACTGCGAGATCATGACCTGAGCCAAAGTCGGATGCTCAACCGACTGAGCCACCCAGGTACCCCTCTCTCTCACTACTTTTAAAATTCTCTCTTTAATTGTTAACATTTTAGTTATGATGTGTCTGGTGCAGACCTCCTTGGGTTCATCTTCTTTGGGACTCTTGTGCCTCTTGAATCTGGACAGCTGTTTCCTTCCCTGAAATAGAGATTTCTTCAAATAAGTGTTCTGCTTCTTTCTTTCTTTTCTTTTCTTTTCTCTCTCTCTCCCTCCCTTCCTCCCGGGACTCCTATAATGTGAATGTTTGTTTGCTTGATGTTGTTGAAGAGATCCCTTACCTATCCTCTCTTTTTAAAGTTCTTTTTTTCTTCTTGCTCTTCAGCTTGGGTGCATTCCATTACCCTATCTTCCAGACTGCTGATCAGTTTTTCTGCATCTATTAATCTGTTGATTCCCTCTAGTGTATTTTTCATTTCAGAAATTGTATTCTTCAACTCTGATAGTTTTCTTTTATATTTTCTGTCTTTGTTGAAGTTCTCACTGAGCTCTTCCACTCTTTTCTCCAATCTGGTGAACATCTTTTTTTTTTTTTAATTTTTTTTTTCAACGTTTATTTATTTTTGGGACAGAGAGAGGCAGAGCATGAACGGGGGAGGGGCAGAGAGAGAGGGAGACACAGAATCGGAAACAGGCTCCAGGCTCTGAGCCATCAGCCCAGAGCCTGACGCGGGGCTCAAACTCACGGACCGCGAGATCGTGACCTGGCTGAAGTCGGATGCTTAACCGACTGCGCCCCCCAGGCGCCCCATGGTGAACATCTTTATGATCGTCACTCTAAACCCTTTAACAGGCATATTACTTAACTCCATTTCATTTAGTTCTTTTTCTGAGGTTCTTTCATTTGGAGCAGATTCCTCTATCTCCCTATTTTGCCTGACTTTCTGTGTTTGTTTCTATGAATTAGGTAGAACAGCTATTTTTCCTAAACTTGAAGGAGTGGTCTTGTGTATGGTCATTCCCTGTGTGGACTCTGTATCTGGCGACTTTGGCTGGTTGGAACTGTAGCTGGTGTCAATGAGGGTCCTAGGGCACTCCATGCTGGGACTGCCCTGGTGGGATGCCAGAGCTAAACTGGGCATGAATTGAGGTGGACTTAGGACCATCTGCACAGAAAGTGCCCCAGTGGGACAGCTCAAGTGGACATAAGCTAGGGAGGTCCCTGGATTCTCCACAAAGAAGGTATTCTGGTAGCACAACTGAAAGAGAAGTGTATACCAGCTAGTGGGTCCTGGAGCTCTCTGCACAGAGGGAATCCTGGCAGGATAGCTGAAACTGAAGTGTAGACATGGGCTGGGGTGATCTCAGGGCTCTCTGCACAGAGGATGCTCAGGCAGGATAGCTGAAGCTGAAGTGGGTGCAAGCCACAGTATGCGAGGGTTCAGCATACAAGTTGCTCTAGCAGAGCAAATGATGTGATGGGTATGGACCAGGTGTTCCCAGAGCGCCAGGATGCCCTAGCAAACTGTTTGGAACTGAAGTGATGTGGGCCTGGAGTATTCCAGTGTGCTTTGTACTTGTGTCACCTTGGCAAAGCAGCTGGAGCTGTAGTGAGGTGACCATGGGTGTCCTGTTCTGCACTGTTGTGGAGCTGCCTTAGTGGGACAACCGGGCTCGTGTAGACTAGGGGTCTGGGGCTCAATGAGGCAGAAGGCCAGCTAGATTACCCAGACTCTGCTCTCATCCATACTATCAAGTTGGAGGAGGAATGTGAACCATAATGTTCATCAGCCTCTCTGACTTGGAGACAGTTCCAGTAGCTCCCTGACATTTGACAGGGTTGTAGGGCTCGTTCCTGTATATTCTAGTTGCACTTTTAAAGTGTGGCTTTTTGGGGCGCCTGGGTGGCGCAGTCGGTTAAGCGTCCGACTTCAACCAGGTCACGATCTCGCGGTCCGTGAGTTCGAGCCCCACGTAGGCTCTGGGCTGATGGCTCAGAGCCTGGAGCCTGTTTCCAATTCTGTGTCTCCCTCTCTCTCTGCCCCTCCCCCGTTCATGCTCTGTCTCTCTCTGTCCCAAAAATAAAAATAAAAATAAAAAACAAACAAACAAAAAAAAATGTTGAAAGTGTGGCTTTTTTGTGTGTCCCAGGGCAGAAAAATCTCCTCAGAGTCCCTCAGTACTATTCCTCCCCACTACAGTTCACAGTGTCGGCTAGGGTTTCCCTTCGTAACTGTGCCATTCTGTATGTGGTCTTGTATTGTGCAGAAGCTGTTCAGTCAGCCCTCAGATCTTCTTTAGGAGGAAGTGCTCTATAAATAAGCATAGATTTGGTGTGTCTGTGGAGGAGGTGAGTTCAGGGTCTCACAAAACCTGATAATTTTAGACTTTACTCAACTTACACCTTGTGTAAAACACCACCGAGATCTCAGTCATGTTATAGCAGTTGCATTGGCTGCCATGTTTTTCTCTCACATGGATTGCTGTATAGATTAAGGGATTCACTTATGGTTGGATCTACCCAATATGATATTGGTTTACTTCCAGTTAAATCCTAAGGGTAAAATGTACTACAGTCCAGGGTCTACATGGAGCATGACTCCTTGGACCATCCATGCAGAAGGAATATTCTTGTCCTTGGAGACTAGTTCTACATTATATGGCAATGTCAACTATAAGATGAGTTGGCTGACTTCGGAAGGAAGGCAGAGAAAACAGGCACCCTGAGGTAATGACAACACCATCTGCTTGCACGGTCCTAAGAGTTTACATGCATTACTTCTAGTAATACTCATAACAGCCCCTAACATTTATCTAGTGTTACTATGCTAAGAACCATGGTAAGCACATCACATGTATTAACTCTTTTCATCCTAATAACTACCCTAGGAAGTTCTATAATTTTCCTTTTATAGTTGAAAAGAGTAAGACCCAGAAGGATTTAGTAATTTATCTTAAGTCACAAAGTTAATCACAAGTTAGGATTTAAACCTCAACAGTTTGGTTCCAGAATCAATGCACTTACCTACTCCACAAAACATACAATCCTGTGAATAATCTCATTTTATAGATAAGGAAACTTGGCTCAGAGGGATTAAGAAACTTGTTCAGGGGCGCCTGGGTGGCGCAGTCAGTTAAGCGTCCGACTTCAGGCAGGTCACGATCTCACGGTCTGTGAGTTCGAGCCCCGCGTCGGGCTCTGGGCTGATGGCTCAGAGCCTGGAGCCTGTTTCCGATTCTGTGTCTCCCTCTCTCTCTGCCCCTCCCCCATTCATGCTCTGTCTCTCTCTGTCCCAAAAATAAACGTTGAAAAAAAAAAATTAAGAAACTTGTTCACTACTACAGAGCTAGCAAGTGATAAAGCAAAATTTGATCACAGTCAGCTGGATTCCACAGCCTCTTCATTACCAGGTCAGTTGTGACTTCACCCCCAGGGGGCAACTCTTGCACTCAGAGCCAAGCGCAAGAGGGCAGCAATTGATGGATTAAAACAGTTCCTCTCTTATGACTGCTGATTCATTCCACTTATGTTTCTTTAGAGTGTAACAGACGAGTAGGGGATTTAGGTTTGAGTGTGAGTTTTGCCTACTTCCCTTTCTGCAAGTTATTGAATCTCTTCAAGTCTCTCTTCTTTGATTCTAAATCAGGGGTGAGAATAGTGTTTTCGTGGGAATTAAAACACTTAGCACAGTATCTGATCTGGCACAGAAATATACTTAATAAGTATTTAGTGATTATCATTTTGGGTGGTCACCAAAAAAGACTTACCAAAACTTGTAAATAAATAGAATCTTCCAGCTCTATAGAACTATCCTGAGATTTTTATAAATATCTCTGAGATATTATATATTCTGAGAGAGAGAGCTAGAGAACAGGAGCACAAGTTGGGGAAGGGCAGAGGGAGAGAAAGGGAATCCCAAGCAGGCTCCACAATGTCAGTGCGGGGCCCGATGTGGGGCTTGAACTTACGAATTGTGAGATCATGACCTGAGCCCAAATCAAGAGTCTGACACTTAACCAACTAAGCTACCCAGGCGCCCCTATATAAATATCCTTTTAAAGGATATGAAAGCAAATCTCACATTAAAATTTGCATAGGAAATCCTATACATAATAGGTTAATATATTCTTAGGCAAAAAAGTGTGAGACATTTTGTAGTCCCTGGAGTTTCTCGGTTAAGTAAAATAGATGAGTGTTAACTCAGTTCAAAATGTAAATAGGACAAACCTATAAAAGAATCAGAAGAAAACAGAACTAGAAATATTTACCAAAGAACTAAAAGAATTGAAACATCTTAAAAAACTTTCACCAATTAATCAAATCGGGCTCTTGTACTATTACAGTTTTTCTTTAAGGACTTACCTTTTATATTTTAAAAGTAACAATGGTATTTCATAACAAAAGTTTTATTTCAATCTCTTCCCATTTGATTGCCATTTGATTCCAACAGCACCATTAAAAACTTGGGCAATACATAAAATATGTAATTACCTGATAAATTTGAAAGATATGATGAGCCAGTCTTAGTAATTCTGGTTAAAAAACAACCTTATTTCCTTTGATGCTTTTGGCCTCAATTATTTGCCTTGCCCATACACTTTATTATTTCTGTATAGAAAGTTTTTAGGACGCTAATTTTATACGCATGCCTTAAATCATTTGACATCTTAAGATGATGATACCTTTTTTCTTTGAGGTGGATAAGCATTCATGCTCTTCTTTGACAGAGATTTTACAACGCCTTATCCGACAAAAAAAGGATCGTCTCAAGCCAGAATACACGTGACTCCTTCCACTGTGGAAATTACTACGAACTTGCAAATCAGCTTTCATGGCAGGAGGGGGCAGGAGAACAGGTGGAAAAGAAATTTTTCATATAGATAAGAAATGTCAAGGGACACGTTTCAAATGTGTTGAAAATTGAAAAAGAAAAATGGTTAAAGCAATGGCATCATTGTACAGTAAACCACAAAGTGAAATATACCAAAAAGAGCATTTGTTAAGGAATCATATTTTTATACCTTCTAAACACTTGTAATTTATCTTCCTTTTTTTGCCCTGGGTGTAGAAATAAAAGAAATCTAAAAGAAATGAAATTTTAAAAAATTTTAATGAAAAAAAAAACCCCTTAACTCTAGTAGTAATCAATGGCATAAAGCATCAGTACAGTATAAATAATTGTTTGGCACTAAACATTTTCAGGGAGGTCTTTTCAGAGAAGATAAACATATTTACACTTCCAAAGTACAGTTACCAAGGTCTTTCAAACTGAGTAAACCTAACCCATATAAGAAAGAGAATTGTTTATCAGCATGTAGCTGAATAATGGAAACTCCTGCAATTTTTTTAATCCCAAATGATACTTTCTTATAAAGATTGTATTAGCATATGAAAAATAGTGAATATGAAATAATCACATATTCCCCAAAGCATCTTCATACGAATATGAAGGAATTCTCTAGTTATACTGTTTTTTTGAGCTCTGAGGTTAATGATTGTAAAGTTTACTAAATCTCCTCTTTATAAAACCATAATTGCCTAATTTTCAAAATATTATGTAGTTGTGCTTTTAAGTAAGTATCATATTTACATAAAATCACAGGCATACTGAGATGAGCACTTACTTTTGGCATCGATCAGCTTCTCCCTTGGTGAAATATCAGAAGAAAGTTGCTCCTTTACTTTGGCAACATCTTTTGGATGTAAGAAGTCAAATAAGCTTTGTCCAGTCAAGCTAGCCTATTTATAAGGTAGATGTTTGTTTAAAATTAGTACCACAGTTTTTCTACATTTCTTCATATAAATGTATGGTAAAAACTGTTAAAGTGGCTTTTTCTTAAGCTCAAAAATACATCTACTGCACTGTGTGACATTAACTTAGTGTTAAAAGCAGGGTGATACTTGTAGATAGAAACACATGCACACAAAACCGTATCTGGAAACACACAAATCACAGACACGTAATTGCTAATGTTCAGTGGACTCTTGTGAACATCCCCCAATTCACTTGTTACTTCTAAATCTTATTATGATTTAAACTTTTTTTACGTGGTAAAAGTAAAGAGATTGTCATTATAATATACTATGGAAGTCACAGAGAATCTGTAATTTTATGGTGTGACTCAGATTTAAAAAAAAATCACTATACTATTAAAAAACAGAATTTGGGGTGCCTGGGTGGCTCAGTCAGTTAAGTGTCCGACGCTTTGTTTCAGTTCAGGTCATGATCCGGCAGTTCATGAGATCCAGCCCCTCCTTGGGCTCTGCACTGACAGTGTGCAGTCTACTTGGGATTCTTGCTCTCTCCCCCTCTCTCTAATAAATAAACGTTAAAAAAAAAAAAAACCTGGAACACCTTCCATTTCCCATTCCCCTTCTCCCAATATGTAGAGCATTCCTACTCTATGCTTTTACTTGTATGGTCTCATCATCTAGAATTCATTACTCCTTTCTCTACAAACTCAAAATTCCCTAGCCACTCTAGTCAATTGCCTTTTACTCCCCAGACTCCCTCCTCAACTTGAAATGTCTTCCTTCCCTTGTCTGCTCATCTTAAAGCCTAAGCAGACATTCTACTTTGTATGTGAAGCCTTCCCCGACCCACAGTGATTACCCTTCTTGTGAAATCCTTTATTAGCTAGGTAGATATTATAGAAGGCAGAACAAATGGACCAGCTGATACAATTAGCCTGGTGGCAGTTAGATATCTCATATTTTTAAAACTAGCATTTTATAAATCAATCTACTGTGTCATTGGTTAATAGAAGTTTATACCCATAACTCTTTGCCTCAAAGAAAACCTGGTTTATGAGTCTAAAAAGCTGAGGACCAGACCCCATATGATGGTGCGGATTTCAGTGTCCTCCTGAGTAGTCAGTGCCCAGGGGGACTGGATTCCATGTCACTAATTTGGAACTTATGTGCTATCCTGAATTGTTATCTTCACATGTGTGTGTGCATGGTGTTCTCTATCTTCTGTTGGAAAATAACCACGTCTTGTCCTGCTTTTGTGTCCCTTAGGAAGCTAAAACCAGCTGTATGATTCATTGGGTTCTTACTCCTTCCATAAGTAAGTTCGCAGCACCTCTTCTTTTTATCTATGAATCTTGTATCTCTCCAAATTTTCATGTTTGGGGAGAAAATAGGTGAAATTAATGGGAGTTATTTAAGATTAAACCCATGGTCAATTTGATTTCTATTTTATTTTATTTTATTTTTTTTAATTTTTTTTTTCAACATTTATTTATTTTTTGGGACAGAGAGAGACAGAGCATGAACGGGGGAGGGGCAGAGAGAGAGGAAGACACAGAATCGGAAACAGGCTCCAGGCTCTGAGCCATCAGCCCAGAGCCCGACGCAGGGCTCAAACTCACGGACCGCGAGATCGTGACCTGGCTGAAGTCGGACGCTTAACCGACTGCGCCACCCAGGCGCCCCTGATTTCTATTTTAAAGGAGACCACAGCATGATCTCACGGTGCATGAGATGGAGCCCCACGTCAGGCTCTGCACTGACAGCAAGGAGCCTTCTTGGGATTCTCTCTCTCTCTCTCTCTCTTTCCCTCTCAAAATAAATAAATAAACTTAAAATGAATAAAGGAGACCACAGGTGCTAGTTTATTCACTCTGGTGGATTATTGTTAGTGCTATAGCTTTTGAGTAACTTTTTTATTACTGGCAAGTATTAATTTATTAATTTAAATTAAATGGTGTTCAGGAATGAGGAGGTAAAGAGATTACAAAGCTAGATAAATAAAAGATGTATTTTAGAGTTTGTTGCCAGAGATTAGAGCAAAAGCTAACATGCAATGCATATAACCTAATAATATATAATAATGCTGTCTTTTGGAGGAAACAGAAGGGCAACTAACATTTTTCAGACAGTCTCAAATATGACAGCTATGTCTTTACATCCTAAGAGACCCATGTAACCATTTCCCCTTTTTACTTAAGAGAAAGTTCAGGCTCAGGAAAATTAACTTGCTGGAGGTCAAGAAGTGAACACTCTTGTCAGTAATAAACACCCATACTCTTTCCATACATCTTTCCATCTCTCTTGGAGTTCTTCTAATCAAGCAAACCTTAGCCCCCAGCACAGTGGGAAGACAGGGTTCAGGAAGAGAACCCAGAAATAAGTGTTCAAAAAAAATTAAACATCAGGCGGAAAATATCCTCAGTTTTGGATACCTGATCATAATTAAGTGTTTTGGAGACTGATTTTGAAACGAAGAGAATTTTTCCTCTTTCACATCCAACCACAAATAGGAAGCCTTCTGCAGTCTAGGATTTAAAAATATAAAAGTAAATATTTTTAAATATCTTCTTTCTTACACACATTCAGAGACTGTGAAATTGCTGTAGCGATAAAACTAAGAGTGGTTGGGGCAGCTGGGTGGCTCAGTTGGTTGAGCATCAGACTCTTGAATTGGTTCAGATCGTGATCTCACAGTTCATGAGTTTAAGTCCCGCATCAGGCTCTGTGCTGACATAACAGAGCCCGCTTGAGATTCTCCCTCTCTCTTTGCCCCTACCCCGCTCACAATCTCTCTGTGTCTCTCAAACTTAACAAAACAAAACAAAACAAAAAAAACTAAGAGTGTTCATAGAGCTAGTAAAATTAGGAAATTTTCTTAAGATGTAAAAGGATTTGTGAGGAACATCAAATTGAATGAACTCCAATCTAAACTCGTTTTTGACATGGAAAGTTTAGCCATGGAATATATGGTTGAGAGATTTTCTAATACAAAAAACACCTATACCAAATTCTATACCGCATACAGAAACTAAAAAGATATCAAAACACATCCATAACACTTTCCCGAGGATGTTCTGAGATGAAGGGACTGTGTAGACTAGGGACAAGGAAAAGAGAAGACATCCTACGATAGATATACTTTTTGAATTATGATAAGGTGCCGCTCATTTAAAACTAAATTAAAAAAATTCTAACATCAGCTACTCCCACTGAAATCTGCCCAGGACATCCTTTGGGAAGCAACCTATATGGAAATGGATATGTATGGACACAGGATGAGTCTGGCACTCCATTGGACATTTCCTTGATTAATTTCTACTAACTTGAAACAAACATGAAGTGACTTAGGCAGACATATTCTATAAGGGCAGAACCAGTATATATTATGAATGAAAGAAACACCTAAAGATTGGTGAGAAAGTTTCCAAAGCATATTATACATTTTTCTAACTTTAAAAATCTTCATCTTCGGGGCACCTGGGTGGCTCAGTGGGTTAAGCGTCTGACTTCAGCTCAGGTCATGATCTTGCGGTTTGTGGGTTCAAGCCCCATGTCAGGCTCTGTGCTGACAGCTCAGAGCCTGGAGCCTACTTTGGATTCTGTGTTCCCCTCTAGCTCTGCCCCTCCCCTGCTCATGCTCTGTCTCTCTCAAAAATAAATAAACATTGGGGCGCCTGGGTGGCTCAGTCGGTTGAGTGTCCAACTTTGGCTCAGGTCATGATCTCGCGGTCTGTGAGTTTGAGCCCCGCATCGGGCTCTGTGCTGACAGCTCAGAGCCTGGAGCCTGTTTCGGATTCTGTGTCTCCTCCTCTCTCTGACCCTCCCCCATTCATGCTCTGTCTCTGTCTCAAAAATAAATAAACATTAAAAAAATAAATTAATTAAAAATAAATAAACATTAAAATCTTGATCTTCAAAAAAAAATCCTTTATATTTCTATCAGGAATATCATATTTAAATTCAGCTGTTCAGGGGTGCCTGGGTGGCTCAGTCAGTTACGTGTCTGACTCTTGATTTCAGCTCCGGTCATGAATTCATGGTCATGAGATGGAGCCCTGAGTTGGGCTCTGTACTGGATGTGGAGCCTGCTTAAAATTCTCTTTCTTCTCCCCCCGCGCCCCCCCCCCCCCCCCCCCCCCCAATAAATACATACATACAGCTGCTCAAATAAAAGAAGGGCCTTTTAGGGGCGGCTGGGTGGCTCAGTCAGTTGAGCGTCTGACTTGGTTTCAGCTCAGGTCATGTTCTCAGGGTTTGTGAGTTTGAGCCCCAC